AATTATATCAAATTTGAGAATTCTGCTAAAGAAATAGCAAAAATAATCTTCAACTGTCAAACGATTGCTTGTCAGTCGTCCCAAAATCAAAAGGCCACAACAATTCACCGATGGATACCTACACATAAAATCTGAGACGGATCCATACAGTACTACTCATGAAATTCCAATAACAAACTTTCATTGTCAAAATCAATGACTGCTGTTTGTCAACCATTTTAATATTTCTGATCAGTAGTGAAACAAATGAACACAAGAATTGGAACAAACATATTTTTTACATAATTTTTTAGCAAAAAAAAAAAAAAGATCCATCTATTATTTGTAAGATTAATCCACCACATAAAATCATGTACAACTAAAGACCTTCATATGAAGTTTGAGAAAGATTGGAGTGCTTCTTCAGAAATAGCAATAACAAATTTTACTACCAAAATCCAAGATGGCCACCTGTCAGTCATCTTAATTTTCTGATCAATTCCAAAATCCAAAGGGTACGACTAGGGATCAAGGAATGTCTATAAAATTATAGAATGATCCATGTCCTACCTTAGCAATAACAACAATTGTTTTAAGGACCAATGGACAAACGATGGACACCAGACAGACGGTCAATCATAGGTGATTTGAATAGCCCACCATGTCGTGATGGTGGGCGAAAAAGAGAGCAGCTCTATTGTACACATTTAAAGTGTTAAAAACAAAATGTGTCAGAGTTAAAATGTTGTGCTCCTATCAGCTAGAAAATATCTGTAAGGCAAGAATATTCCTGCATCCATGCATCAGTACCTGTGGAGACTTGACAGATTTACAACCTAACATACAGATAGATATGAGCTACACTATCTGTGCCACCTCCCCCTCCACCCTCAGAAGACCAGGGCAAAAAACTATAATTTAATTAATGGTGAGCTTATGAATATGATTTTCATGATAAAAATATTGCTTTTAGTAATTAAAAACCATATTTGAAATAACTGACACATGTTACAACAGGTATGTGCTTTGACAGGTACCCATGCATGTACATACTTTATAGCTAAATAGGTAACCATCTTACTTATTACAGCCCCAAATCTTTTAAATGTGTCATTTATCTCCCATTTTGGTTTTCTGAAAGATACCTGCATCTCTAATTTGAATCTTCCACTTAAAGTTGTTGACAGGATTACGTTAAAGGCCTGTACTACAATCTGATAGCAGAAATAAACAACTCTTAAAAAATACACCCTCTGGGGGTAAGTACTGCTGTACATGGGGAGACTAAAATTGGTCCAAATTCAATCTACCTTTATACCTACTGGAACAAAAGATTTAGGCACAGATTTAGGTCACTGATGTACAGATAGGATAGTTTCACTGGTGGTCAAGATGTTTAAAGTGACCATTACACACAAGTATGCTTAATGCCACCCGAACATCTGATAAGATCGCATTAGGGATGGTCTAGATTCTCACCGAATTCCTACATAATACATTAAGTGTGTACATGTACCAGTATTTAAAATACCGAGCAGGAGCAGTAAAATAGAGGTCAAACAAAACAGGTGACCGCACAACGTGAAAACTGACCAGTACCCTGCAGGCATCCAAAGGAATTTCTATACCTTTATTTATCTATTTTTGACACGTAAATAAGGGCTAACCCCAAACCTTGGGTATTTGTCCAACTAGATCTAGTGTACACACACTGCAGGTATTCACTCAGAACGTAAATGCCACAGTCAGTACCTGTCACCAAGCAGCCTTTCCGTACAGCATGTATTGTCCCAGGAAGAGCCACTGTATATTATTCCAATATCTTCTATAAACGTACTTAATCAAATTTTAGCAGATCATAATTTTTTGACAAATTAGCACAATGATGAATTTATGTCTCTCAAACACATAGAAACAGCTTCAAGGGCTGAAGTAAGAATACCAAACATAAGTATGTGTACAGCCTATCTTTAAAAGTGACATCAAAATCAGATCTAGATGCAGCTTACAGAAGAGACCCCTGGGTAATCTTAATTGGCACACAATCCCATTTTTATTTTCATTTGTTATTTAAAAGTTTTTTTCTCTTCCTTTCTTTCTTCTGTTTTTGCCCTTAATTACATTAAAAAAATCCTCTTATAAATAGTGATCACTTTAAACTTCCAAATCAAATATGGTCACCTGTCATCATCCACTTTGATTTTCTAATCATACACAGAATCAAAATGGCACAACAAAAGACTAAGGAAAACCTACTTAAGAAATCTGAGAAATCTTTTCTTCTCAAAAAAAAGCCATAACAAACTTTCATCATCAAAATTCAAGATGGCAGCCTGTCAGTCATTTTGTTTTGCTGATCAAAATCAAAACAGCACAACTAGGGACCAAGAGAAACTTACACATGAAATTTGAGGAAGATCCATAAGTTACTTTCCAAGAAATCTAATAATAGTGGGCTAAAATGATTAAAAAATACAGCTGAACATATTTACCAGGCAATTAACCCATTATTAAAGTAAGTCCAGCTACATATACTGCTGTTCTGTAGGCCCAGACTTTGTAAAAATCCATCTACATACACTGTTGTTCAGTCAAGGTGATGTAATGATTCCTTCAGGTCTTTGTAGAAAACTGAAAGAAGTTACAAATTTTCCATGCTAAATTTTTTAACTCAACATTAAAACAAAAAATGTGAGAGTGAGAGAATTGAACGACGAAAGCCAGAAGAAATCACATCTTCTAATAAAATCATTTAAAATAAAAACTGAATAATTCAGTAATGCTTCATCGCTGATCACTGAGGAATTGACTGTCACAAGACCCTCCCTTCCTTCTACCATTGCACAACTGTATTGCATTAATCACCAGTGTTATATAAATGTGCACTCTGCGACTGGCACTTCAACAGTTGTTAAAGACCTGACATTTAACTAGGGACTAGGGTGATAAGGACTTAAGCAGTTACCAATGACAAAATGCAGTCAAACTTTGATGTTTCGAAGTTCAAGGGACTACCAAAAAAACTTCGGATACATCGAGACTTTGAATCGTGTGTGATGGGTTATATTGCCTATATAAAGTTGATGACAATATTTCTACCTGAACAAACACAACAAATACCAAGACACAAGATTAAGTGAAAAGATGCATTTTTATCTTTATACAAATCATTTTCATTCATGAAAAAAGCCTCATAACTTTATATAAAATCAATGAGGAATCGATCCTTTGTGTCACACAATATATGCATTTTACGAGTCGATCTTAAATGAAATGATGTGCAGCATTAAAGTGGTCGTCACGTGTTACGGTAATTATTGTAGGACTGATACATAAACATTATAGGCTCTAACGAATTCGAAAGAAAGCAAATTGTAATGTAATCTGTCCAGAAAGAACAGCAGAAATCACAAGAGTGTTCGCCGATGTTCTGACGACGGCAAACCTGAATCTATTAGAGAATGCATGATTGACAGATAAATCATGAAGTTTCTCTTGTTTTTATGCTTAAAACTAAAAAGTGATGCTTTGGGAATGATTAAAATCATTATACAAGTGTCTTAGTGATAGGATTTCCTCCGATTGTTTTCAAAATTTCGTAAATTAGACCGAACTAAATGCCATCACCACAGTAGCAGCAGTGAACATCACACAACGTCCCATTATCTTTGATTAAACATCAAGGCTTGTAAGTAAGCAATTAAATCTAAATCTGTGGCCAATCATTAATTAAACCCATAACACAGAGCTAATGATAGCGGGCTATCGTAATCCCACTGTCAGGTAGCACTCTTTGTTGAAATGTGTTGCAGGGCGAAAATACCTGCACAGTGCAGGTGAATGTTTTGTTTGAATCATGAGGTGTCAATGACTGTGTTATCATAGCTAACGGGCCATGAAAGAACTTTGATACATCTAAAAGTTCAATTTGTAAAACTTCGAATCATAAGGTGGCAAGTTATTAGTAATATATAGGAATAAAATTTGGAACCGGACAAAGAAGTTTGACTGTATGTAACATGTGACTGACCAATTGGACAATCTCGATAAAAACATTTTTCCAGAATGTTCTGTGGTACAACTGGGCTTGAACAGTGGCCGAAAAGTATTTGTATATAACGATCAGCAGTTAGAGGGCTTGACCGGTGGTCCGAGTGCTATTATGCAAGTTGTGGACATTATTTTGAGAATGGCAATGTCCAATCAACCTGCAAGGCTTTGTGTGTTCAAGTGTGCTACTTTTAACTACTTATCCCACAGTTCAGATACACAATACCACAAAGTCCACAACAGACAAAAATACAATTAAATCCATTTTCCTGATGACCAAACACAGGCATGTGAAGTGCTTCATTCCTTTCAGCTGTACCATAGTCAACCTATTCAGCAGCCACTTCATAGTTAATGAGAATCTTAAACACCATATACTACTGCACCATGTTGTAGTTTCATATACAATTAAACCTGTCTATAAAGACCCTTAAACCTGTCTATAAAGACCCCTCAAAGGAGCGGGTAAAATGGCCTTTGTGGAATGAAAAAAAGAAACTTGAAAAATCTTATGTAAAAGAATCTAGATTTAGTTCATAATTGAGTAGAATCTTTTAATCTGTCAGTCACAATACAAACTGTCAATATTCAAATAGAAATAAAAGGCCCAGAGGGCCTGCATTTTACCTTATCAGCAATCATCATGAAATATTCCTTTTTCTTTTTTAATTTACCACTTAGTACCAAAGGGGGTCACACCTTTCATGTCTATTTTTCTAATTCCATACATAACTTAATATAAATTAGGTAAACAAAATACTTTTTTAATTCATATTTTTGTGGGATGGAGGGTAGGGGTTGGGTACTTCTATTTGTACAATATACAATCCTTTTACCTAGGAATCAGAGACAATTAAAATTGTACTGCTTCATGGGGCATCAGATGCAATCAAAATCCTTACGCTTCATAGGGCATCAGAGGCAATCAAAATCCTACTGCTTCTTGGGCATCAGAGGCAATCAAAATTCTAATGCTTCATAGGGCATCAGAGGCAATCAAAATCCTACTGCTTCTTGGGGCATCAGAGGCAATCAAAATTCTAATGCTTCATAGGGCATCAGAGGCAATCAAAATCCTACTGCTTCTTAGGGCATCAGAGGCAATCGAAATTCTAATGCTTCATAAGGCATCAGAGGCAATCAAAATCCTACTGCTTCTTGGGGCATCAGAGGCAATCAAAATTCTAATGCTTCATAGGGCATCAGATGCAATCAAAATCCTACTGCTTCATAGGGCATCAGAGGCAATCAAAATTCTAATGTTTCATAGGGCATCAGAGGCAATCAAAATTCTAATGTTTCATAGGGCATCAGATGCAATCAAAATCCTACTGTTACATAGGACATCAAAGCACTCAGAAAACCTAAAGCTTCATAGGGCATCAGAGGCATCCAAAATCTTATTGCTACATGGGGGAAGGGGTAATTTCATGATTGTGTGCATGTGTGAGGGTTATTCTCATCTTCAATCTTCGCCTATCTAATGTATACCCATGTATGTAATAGGTCACAAACTCAGATATATAGGGGAAATTTAGCTCCCCTGTGCAAATTTCCACATTAATAGTAATTACTTCAGTAAAAACATGATGAGTTGAGGTTACAGACTTGAAAACTTTGGGAACAAATCCAATAAAGTTAAACCAGTGCAGCAAAACCTGAACAATTTTGACTTATTAGAAGTAAATGATTTTGCTAACTCGTCACCAAGTATCAGGTGGAAATGGGAAGTTTCCATTCTTTTGGCAGATCAATTTTAGGCTTGATAAACCTTTATTTAAATATTCACACAAGCACTGAATAGCCTCGGATTAGCTCAATGGATGAAAGTTTTTTGTACAACTTCATGAAAACTAGGTGCATGTTTAAAATCATGAGATGGAAACGTCGATGTTAGACATGAACAACACATAAATATGATCCTTAGAATCAATTGGTAATGCTATCACATCTTTACTATCTGCAAATGCTGTTGATCGATCCTTGAGCTTGCCGTGGTAGAATTGATTTTAGTAAATCTCTCTATGCTTGTGAGATGCAGAGGAATGCAGAGAGAAGCAATGGTGGCTGTCATGTTACAATCCCACCACAGCAAACAAAGAAATCGGAGATGGAAGCTCGTGGAATATTTTTCATGTCTGTATATGGGCAAGAATTTCATGAGCATATCAGGAATTACTCTCCAAGGGCTTTTGGATGTTTGAATCCACTTGAAATTCTATATCTGGTAGAAGATTTCTCTATTTCACATGTATAAATGATGTTATGTTTTGGGAGAAAATCGAAGATTTTACCTCAGTGTACTGAAACACATTAGCAGGCTTGGTGCATCTCGTCCATTTGTATGGAACCAACAAAAAATTTAATTGAATTGTCAAACTAGACCGTTGATTTACCTGCCTGTATTCTAGGCAGGCTCTATTGAATTTTGGTTTAATTAAATATCCTGGATCCCCAGGAAACCAGTACATTTTTCTATGTTTGGAATTTTTTTTATTCTCCATATTTAAGTCTACATCATAGTCTCGTTGCATATACAAATTTGTCTGTACCAGTGTGTAAACAGCTCTTATGTCAAGAAAATGAACCATTCTTACAACCCTCTGTCAAAAAACAACTAAAGAATTTTGATAAAAATTGAAAAATGGAATAAAATTGCATTGAGCTTGTTCCAAATTTAACACAATTTGAAATATGTTTTTCAACACATGTAATTATTTTAAAAGGCTTGTAATATAGCACTGCACTGAATTTAATTTCAGCTACCATGGACTCTAATTAATTACAATTCTGACTGACTTAGAAAATAGTCTGCGTTTTAGAGCTATACTCATGAAAGATTACGAAAGTATTAACATTGAAAAACAAGATGCCCATAGGGCCTGTATCGCTCACCTGGATCTTGAAGTCCAATGATGTTATACATGCGTATAGGTTGGGTATTTTAAATATTTCCAAATTAAAGCTATGTCACTTAACCTCTTTGATGGGGCAAGACAAATAGGTAAATTCTTATATCATTACTGTCTTTCTCTTTTGATTCCCAGTAGGAGTTAACATGGTTATCAGGTTGTTATCTCATCTCACCTAAATCAAAATATGACCCAGAAATAATTACCCTTTAGGTATGCCACACCCAAGGGTCAATTCATACACAACAAATGTGTTTATCTCTTGATGTCAAGTAATTCTATATACACCAGCGAAAAAAACAAACTGTGCATGTGTAAAATATTCATGTGTTGCTCAATTTTATCAATTGAAGCTTGAAACTTTACACTGGTAAGTTGTGTATACCTCGCCATCATTTACACTTGCCAGTGCAAGACATGCACAGGTAATTTGTCACGTTCTTTTTTGGCCAGCAGTCAGTCGCAAGCATGTTTGTCACCTAAACCTGTGTAAAAGCATAGTGTAAATAACTTAAACACACAAAACCAGCATAATTTTGAAAAAAGTCTTTGATACCTCATGCCAAAGTTGAATGAAACTGACAGATGCCAAGCTGTAGGCAATATAATAGTTTGTTAACGTCATATTGACATTGCGTTGAACATCGAAATACTGCAGATGCCTTGTGGAGACATTTCAAACAGTTTGGAACACTAGAAACCAGCCTCAGTCAGAATGTCCACACGTAACGTTTAATCTTCAGGATATGTATATCAGGGTCTCCGTGAACGACTCAGAACTGATTCTTTGATGGTTAGATTAGTCCCCAAACAGTATGTAATTGATTACTGGAACGAGGCATGCGTCCTGTTCTCCAGCAACGTCATCGTGTAGTACGTTTAGGTTGGTGTAGACTACAGATACACTTCATGCGGCAGGACTGGGCACATGTTCTTGGGAAAAATAAACCTTCTACTTACATAATGTGTGTACCCCAAAATTCTGTCAAAATTGATCTCCCGGAGCCAAGAAATTGATCTCTGAATGTTCAATCAACTAACACGTCAGACCAACGAAAATTTTCTCTTCAAAGTTTGTTTTCATCTCTTTTACTTATCTTAATAACCTTCTGTTTGATTACAGCCTAATGTTTGTGCATGTTTTGGTTTTTTTTATATATCAGAAACACCAAGCTGTCATTCACTAACCTATACAAATATCCCTTATTTATCTTATGTATACAAGTACTTGTCTTCACACTAGCCCTAATCAACAGTGTTCCGTGTTAAAATCACAGGTATAAGTCATTATCTACTGGTCCATGGTAAACCAGGTAAATACAATTTCTGCGAGTCAACTTTTCTTTCATGTCTCACTGTCAAATCGAGAGTTTATGCACCAGCTGACATAAATTGAGGCCCCAACTATGAATATTTAAGCAATCAGTATACGCAGCAAGGAATGAATTCACATGGAATGTGTATTTTTAAGAAAAGGAACAGTGTATCATTACACATTTTGGTAAGATAGTCGCGCAAAAACTATTCTCTCTTTATCATTTGACGGTATATGTTTCGTAAACATCGATGAGAACAATCTTTATAAATGAAGAATTTAATCCATAGTCTGTAGCTACATTAGAACCTGTCCTGAAAGACCACCCATTCTGTAGCTACAGTAAAACCTGTCCAGTAAGACCACCCATTCTGTAGCTACATTAGAACCTGTCATGTAAGACCACCCATTCTGTAGCTACATTAGAACCTGTCCTGAAAGACCATCCATTCTGTAGCTACATTAGAACCTGTCCTGTAAGACCACCCATTCTGTAGCTTCAGCAGGACTTATCCTGTAAGACCACCCATTCTGTAGCTACAGTAGAACCTGTCATGTAAGACCATCCATTCTGTAGCTTCAGCAGGACCTATCCAGAAAGACCACCAATTCTGTAGCTACATTAGAACCTGTCCTGTAAGACCACCCATTATGTAGCTACAGTAGAACCTGTCCTGTAAGACCACCCATTCTGTAGCTTCAGCAGGACTTATCCTGTAAGACCACCCATTTTGTAGCTACAGTAGAACCTGTCCTGTAAGACCACCCATTCTGTAGCTTCAGCAGGACCTATCCAGTAAGACCACCCATTCTGTAGCTACAGTAGAACCTGTCCTGTAAGACCACCCATTCTGTAGCTTCAGCAGGACCTATCCTGTAAGACCACCCATTCTGTAGCTACAGTAGAACCTGTCCTGTAAGACCACCCATTCTGTAGCTACATTAGAACCTGTCCTGTAAGACCATCCATTCTGTAGCTACAGTAGAATCTGTCCTGTAAGACCACCCATTCTGTAGCTACAGTAGAACCTGTCCAGTAAGACAACCCATTCTGTAGCTACAGTAGAACCTGTCCTGTAAGACCACCCATTCTGTAGCTACAGTAGAACCTGTCCTGTAAGACAACCCATTCTGTAGCTACAGTAGAATCTGTCCTGTAAGACCACCCATTCTGTAGCTACAGTAGAACCTGTCCAGTAAGACAACCCATTCTGTAGCTACAGTAGAACCTGTCCTGTAAGACAACCCATTCTGCAACATCAATAGATCTGTCCTATACGATTATCACTTCTGTCAATACACTAGGATTTGTTTTCAGATTATTCAGAAAACCATTAATTCAAAGAGAAATGTTTGACCATCCTGCAGTAACACAGAAAATTGAGTTTTGTAAACCACTATGATGGTTTTTATCAGATCAATGTTTTCTTTTGATATAGAATAATTCTATTGTGGATACAAGTGTTAACTTGACACGTTCTGATGGTAATGTTCTTCTTCCTGTATAAGTCTAGAATCCTAAATATGTAAATCTAAGGAAAACAGGAAATGGAAAGTCCTTTAAGCCACAAATTAACTGATAAAAGTTGTCATTTCAAGACTTCAGCCATTTTTGCTGTATTATGTTATTTCAAGACTTCAACAGTTTTTGCTGTATTACAACAGGCTGAAGACTGAGAAAATGCAAAATATCTAGCATGAATGGTATTATAAACAAAGACTAGAAGACAAATGCCACCTCCATGCATGAAGTAATAAGTACAATCAAAACAAAAAATATCTTTAAATTTCTGTAAGTATCTGATATTGTTTTGTATTCTACATCTGGTCAATAATCATTACACTGCTCCAGAAAAGATGTTTTCTCAAACAGTTCAATAAAATGCACATATATTAGCTTACAAGTATTATCTTAATTTAGTGCTTAATTTTCACAATTAAAGTAATGACCTGAAATATAACTGTGTTAATTAAAGTTACTGCATATACTTAATAGTTGTTATTGTAGATACGCAAATTTATCATTACGTGATGCTCTTTAACTGATAGCATCAGCTTTAACTGTTTTTATCGTATGACCAAATCACTATTTTTAATGCTGATGTTTAGCCCAAAGAGGTATGCCCCTCCATATTTACATTTTTAAACATCCTATCATCAATAAAGAATCTTTATTCCTAATTATTCACCACATTGTCACAGACAAGCTATTTCCTTAACCATTTTGCACTCATCCTCAGTCCCCTACAGGTTCCGTTTTCTACATCTTGAATTCCACAGATATTCATAAGTTTTCCATCCAATGTTGTTGATATTTATCATGTTCAGGAGAGGTTGCTGTCACTAGATTTTCAAGATATCAGTCTGCTGTAATAAGATCTGCAAATCAGTGCCATTGCTCGCACAAGAATGTATCAAAATACCACCAACAAGAAGTCATTAAATATAATGCTGCTACAATAGGTTTCAGTTCATATGAAGCCATTTGTTGCAATAACTAAGTAACACAGCACTGAACATCATCTGTACATGATTAAGATTAGCAACTATCATTAAGATATCATTGATGGTTTAAATATTATCCAACAGAAAAGTAAGAAGTAGGAAAATTCTCACCTTGAGGTCAAGGTCACAATGTTACAATGACAGAGCACTGCAGTTTTCCAATGGGTGTTAAAGAAGCTTTCATTATGTTATATCTTTAATGACCAAGAAATTCTTTTGAACTTAAACTCAAGGTAACAGTGACCTAAAAACAGTTTCAGAGTTATCTTCAAGACATGAAATTATTGGGAAAATTTTAATTTCAAGGTCAAGGTCACAATGATCCTTTGAAAAAGCACTGCGCTTCCTCAGTGGGTGATAAAGATATACAGCAACTTTCATTGACAGTCAAAAAATTACACCTTTGACCTTGATAGTCAAGGTTGTTGTGACCCAGCAGCAGTGCACTGCACATCAACTTTAAGTGATGCAAGCATAGTGCAAGTTTTGTCTAGATCTCTTCAATGGTTAAGAAGTTATGGCCCTGAAAAGAAATTATTAAGAGGAACCAGAATCAGAAGGTCCAGTACTAATGAAATACATCTTCCTACATACATAGGGAAGATGATTTCATCTACAACCATCTGAGGAGTTTTAACACTTCAGTTGAAGTCCTATCTCAGTACAACTTCACATTCATGATGTGATAACAAGACTTTCATGATCGCTGCCATTTTGAATATCAAATCTGCCCAAATCACCATCAGAACCAAATAAAGACCATCCTCTACACACTACTAAAGGTTTTATATCTGCTGTGGTTATTACCTTTATTGCAGCTTGGGTTAAACGTTTATTAAGAACCAACTGTGAATCATTCACAGTTCATATGTGGAAGATGAACTCAATAACCCCAATAACTTCATCAAACTTTACCTGGCAAAACATGTTGTTGATCTTGTTAAATGTTGTAAAGGTCTTATTTACATCCATCTGTGAACCATGCACAACTCATTAGCAGAAATCCTGTCTCAGTGTGACTTTCTGTTCAAGCGAAGAAGTGACAAAGTTTTCAATATGGCCACCATTTAGAACCTCATATCTGTCCAAATTATGCTTAGTTAATATGGATAACAAAACTTTGTTTACAGGCAGCCACTGTCAACAGATTCAGGACAATGCATCACAATGTTAGATTTTGAAATCAGGTCATCAAACTCCGTAATACCGAGCTTCCCGCCATACAGGTGATCATGTTCTTCTAATCATTCTGTGTCTTGTATCACAGCTAGATTGAACTTCCATAAAACATGTTTATGGAGATTAAACTTGTGCTTTGCAGACAACAGACAATTCAAGTAAAAATCAATATTTAATATGAAATGTTTTTATACTGCACTAACTCACAAACTATAGCAGATCTATATCTCTTCAGAGTTTTGAAAATCTTCCCTCAATAATTACTTTTCTCTCAATGTTTTGTACAGACATGACTGCGGTTTTTCCAACATTATACACACAGTAACTGCATCTTATCTTTTTAACAACATGAAAACATCATATTTATGAGTTTTTCTTTTGCATTTACCTGGTTTCCTTCCGCAATATCTCTGGAATATGGAGGATAATTTTCAAGATAATTTTCTACCATGAAAACATGGTCGTTTCTTGTTTCACTTTAGGATGTTGCAGATTAAAGAACATTGAAGGAGAAAGATGCGGAAGAAGACATGGAGGTAGAAGCCGAAACAAAGAAGAGAGAAAAGAAAAATGGATAAGGAGTAGGAACGACAGAGTGAAGGATAACGGACAAGACAAGGGAGAAGACAAGGTAAAAGGAAAAGAAAATAAAGTAAAGGGACAAGTTTGAGGAGGACAAGGAAGAGAACAAAGAGGAGGGACACATTTGAGGAGGACAAGGAAGAGAACAAAGAGGAGGGACAAGTTTGAGGAGGACAAGGAAAAGAACAAAGTGAAGAGACATGTTTGAAGAGGACAAGGAAAAGAACAAAGTGAAGGGACAAGTTTGAGGAGGACAAGGAAAAGAACAAAGTGAAGGGACACGTTTGAGGAGGACAAGGAAGAGAACAAAGTGAAGGGACATGTTTGAGGAGGACAAGGAAAGGAACAAAGTGAAGAGACATGTTTGAGGAGGGCAAGGAAGAGAACAAAGAGGAGGGACAAGTTTGAGGAGGACAAGGAAAAGAACAAAGTGAAGAGACATGTTTGAGGAGGACAAGGAAAAGAACAAAGTGAAGGGACAAGTTTGAGGAGGACAAGGAAAAGAACAAAGTGAAGAGACATGTTTGAGGAGGACAAGGAAAAGAACAAAGTGAAGGGACAAGTTTGAGGAGGACAAGGAAGAGAGCAAAGTGAAGGGACAAGTTTGAGGAGGACAAGGAAGAGAACAAAGTGAAGAGACATGTTTGAGGAAGACAAGGAAAAGAACAAAGTGAAGAGACATGTTTGAGGAGGACAAGGAAAAGAACAAAGTGAAGGGACAAGTTTGAGGAGGACAAGGAAGAGAGCAAAGTGAAGGAACAAGTTTGAGGAGGACAAGGAAGAGAACAAAGTGAAGAGACATGTTTAAGGAAGACAAGGAAGAGAACAAAGTGAAGAGACATGTTTGAGGAGGACAAGGAAGAGAGCAAAGTGAAGGGACACGTTTGAGGAGGACAAGGAAGAGAACAAAGTGAAGGGACATGTTTGAGGAGGACAAGGAAAAGAACAAAGTGAAGAGACATGTTTGAGGAGGACAAGGAAGAGAACAAAGAGGAGGGACACATTTGAGGAGGACAAGGAAGAGAACAAAGAGGAGGGACAAGTTTGAGGAGGACAAGGAAGAGAACAAAGAGGAGGGACAAGTTTGAGGAGGACAAGGAAGAGAGCAAAGAGGAGGGACACATTTGAGGAGGACAAGGAAGAGAACAAAGTGAAGGGACATGTTTGAGGAGGACAAGGAAAAGAACAAAGTGAAGAGACATGTTTGAGGAGGACAAGGAAGAGAACAAAGAGGAGGGACAAGTTTGAGGAGGACAAGGAAGAGAGCAAAGTGAAGGGACACGTTTGAGGAGGACAAGGAAGAGAACAAAGTGAAGGGACATGTTTGAGGAGGACAAGGAAAAGAACAAAGTGAAGAGACATGTTTGAGGAGGACAAGGAAGAGAACAAAGAGGAGGGACAAGTTTGAGGAGGACAAGGAAGACAACAAAGTGGAGGAACACGTTTGAGGAGGACAAGGAACAGAGTAAAGAGGAGGGACACATCTGAGGAAGACAAGGAAGAGAAAAAAGTGAAGGGACAAGTTTGAGGACGGCAAGAAAGAGAACAAAGAGGAAGGACACATCTGAGGAGGACAAGGAAGAGAACAAAAAGGAGAGACAAAATCAAGGAAGAAGAGAAGAGGAGATAAAGAACAATGAGGATGGACACTATTTAGGAAGAAGAAAACAAAAAGGAAGGACAAAATCCAGGAGGAAGAGCAGAAAGAGGAGAGACAAGGTGGAAGATGAAGAGCAGAAAGAGGAGAGACAAATGTGGAGGATGAAGAGCAGAAAGAGGAGAGACAAGGTGGAGGATGAAGAGCAGAAAGAGGAGAGACAAGGTGGAGGATAAGAGCAAAAAGAGGAGAGACAAAACAGAGGAGGAACAGAACAAAGAAGATGACCAAGGTGGTGGAAGAACAGAACAAATAGGATGGACAAGGTTGAGGAAAGAGAAAGAAGAGGGTCAAGGAGGGAGAGAGAAAGCAAGGAACTGCAAAACATGGCATTATCCCCTACACCCAGCATTTGGTGTAAAACCCAAATATGATATATATATATACACCAGTATAACAATTTGAGATGTCACTCAATTATGTGCCGCCACTTATCACCTGAAAATCACATACTGTGAAAGCCCTTGTGCAAAAAATAATGTCTTCTTTTATTAATTATCAATTAGATTTCTTTGCATCTCTTCAACTTCAACATTATACATATGTATCAACCTAATAGTAAGAGTTTATATCTTGATGTAGATCCTGTGTGTTTGACTGCTGATATTTTAATAGAGCTTGGTATTGTCCATGAACAAATTTATGCAACACCCTATAAGATCCAATACAAGAGGCCACAAGTAATAAAAAAAATGATGGTTACAGGAAAATACATGTCATCAATAACAAAACACACAATCAGGGCACTAACAAAATATATACTGCAAGTTTTGTGAAGTTGAGTGGAATGCTTAAGCAATTATAGCCCGCAAAAGCCCTCAGACAGAAGGTCACACCCACGAATGCATGGATGGATAGAGCCCAAATTTAAATATTCCCGCAAATGCTTTTCATGGTTGAGGACGAAGAAAACATAAAGGATAGACAAGGTTGAGGAAGAAGAAAACATAAAGGATAGACAAGGCTGAGGAGGAAGAAAACAAAGGATAGACAAGGTTGAGGAAGAAGAAAACATAAATGATAGACAAGGTTGAGGAAGAAGAAAACAAAGGATAGACAAGGCTGAGGAAGAAGAAGCCATAAAGGATAGACAAGGTTGAGGAAGAAGAAAACATAAAGGATAGACAAGGTTGAGGAAGAAGAAAACATAAAGGATAGACAAGGTTGAGGAAGAAGAAAACATAAAGGATAGACAAGGTTAAGGAGGAAGAAAACATAAAGGATAGACAAGGTTGAGGAAGAAGAAAACATAAAGGATAGACAAGGTTGAGGAAGAAGAAAACATAAAGGATAGACAAGGTTGAGGAAGAAGAAAACATAAAGGATAGACAAGGTTGAGGAAGAAGAAAACATAAAGGATAGACAAGGTTAAAGGATAGACAAGGTTGAGGAGAAGAAAACATAAAGGATAGACAAGGTTGAGGAGGAAGAAAACATAAAGGATAGACAAGGTTGAGGAAGAAGAAAACATAAAGGATAGACAAGGTTGAGGAGGAAGAAAACATAAAGGATAGACAAGGTTGAGGAAGAAGAAAACATAAAGGATAGACAAGGTTAAGGAGGAAGAAAACATAAAGGATAGACAAGGTTGAGGAGGAAGAAAACATAAATGATAGGGAAGGCTGAGGAGGAAGAAAACATAAAGGATAGACAAGGTTGAAGAAGAAGAAAACATAAAGGATAGACAAGGTTGAGGAAGAAGAAAACATAAATGATAGACTAGGTTGAGGAGGAAAAGAAAAAAAGACGAGACAAAGAGGAAGGACAAAGTTGAGAATGATGAGGAGGGACAAGATGGATGGACAAGAGAACGAAGAAAAGGGACAAGGTTGAGGCAGAGAACAAAGAATGGATAATGAAGGATGGAGGAGGAGGAACCTTATCAGAAGCTACAAAAGTTTCTGTAAAAATGCAAATTCTTTCAAAGTTCACCATGTTTATACAGGAATATTTCTGTAACCTTCCAGCACTAGGTATTGATCAAGCATGATGCTCTATTCCAAATCCAACCATCAGTAACCTTGAACTTGAGCACAATCTTACCATCACAGGAGGTTTGTGTGTGCTCATTTTTTATCTCAATATTTCGGCATTATCATAAATACAGATAGGTTGTTTCTTGATGCAGGGCAAACAATTAAATCAATACAGATAGTAATGAAATCCTAACTGTACAAACTTTATGAAATTAAATTCATATAAATTTAGTCAATGTTTTAAATTAAATAGTGTAATTGTTTCAGTACACAGTCAATACAATTGTTATCGCTAACAGAGCAAACGTATCAAAGCCATATATCATCATTACAACCCTCGTTAACTACATAAACAGAAATGACAAACTACCGCATGCGTAAATTACTGGTCTTTAAATAATATTCACATGATCAAAATAACAGGAATGTTTCTAACCAATTAAAACAGGTTAAACACATTGAATTGTTTGTATACATGTACATAGGTATTTTGATTTTTTGAAAATTAAAGTAATTTTAGGGAGAAATTTACATTAAATTAAATCAAATATATTTTGCTTGAAATTTGCATGATTTATCCATGTCTGACCATAAAAAAAAATTTAAAAGATCCCTGGTATTTTTTTTATTAAATAGAATTTTTAAAAATACCACCATATGTGGAAAATGTTTCACCTAAAAGTAATATCTTAAATCACCCTTTGACAAAAATCTACCCTTGATGCATAACCTAAAGCCAGCGTTCCTGACATCATCATTCAAAAGGATGATTTTACAGGTTTTCATTTTTACACTGTAAGAAGAAGGCCATAGTACTCGTTTACACTGTTACCTTAAATTCATACCAGTATTGAAAAAGCACAGCTGTGATAGTGAAAAATTTACATTTTATCTTTCACCCCTTGATACAATAATAGAACATGCCAATACATCAATCTTAAGCTACATTCATTTCATCTTATAGGTGTGTCAGCTTTTCCTCATTATATCCATATTGAAAAGCAAATTAGAAAAAATTGAATATTCATATTTTAAAATCAAAATGAACAACTCCTAAAAATATTCATGTAAGTGTTTCGAGCAGTTTGTGGTAATGACAGTGATTACACTGCATGCACATCCATAATGTGTGACCTGAATACATCTCAATACAATTGTTTCCTCTCTTTGATTCATTTCAATGTTAAAATGTTTCAGACTGAAATTTTATGTCATTTTATTACCAGCTATCATTTTTAATAAATCCCATACTTCCAAAATTTTTATTATTAATTAAAATGTTTAATTTGACCAGCACATTATTTCTTTGTCTTTAGACACAAGTTTATGCAATAATTTAGAAGTTGATTTAAAAAGATAATGAAATATCATTTTCAACCATATGCAATTATTACAATATCAAATTGAAATACATTTTTTTCTTATTTCATATCTTAGAATAATTTCTTCAGCGATAATCAAAAAAAATATTTTAATTAAGCAAAACTACAGAAAATTGTACATATCAGCTTTTGAGAGCTATTGTGTTAAACAACTACATTGTAATACCGATAGATCTTCTAAAATCTTTACTAGCTTTAGTTATTCTCCTTAATAAAATTTTTCAAAATGTTCTTTTATTGAAAGATGACTCCTTAAATAGATTATAGATTTGATATATTTACTGTCTACCAAAATGTACCTGATGATTACATGCATTCAAAAAAGATAAATGAATTTGGAGATATTGCAAGGCTTTAACATACTAAACAGGAAACCGATCTCAAAAATTAGTTCTATGGTGCCCTTAAAGTATTCAATTAAAAATGTTTTTGATACTGGCCATGGAAAACTCAGTGAAAAAAATCATGAAGCTAGTATATCTTACTGATTTTTTTTCAGTATTTTTTTTTTTTTTTACTTTTTTCAAACAATCCTACTGAAAGATATTAAGTAAAGGAAATGCAATTTTACATATATGCCTAATAATCAATATAAAAATTTCAATAATATTCAAATCAAAATAACACAAGTTTTTAACGTTGAATGTAGGCAAATACGGAAACTTCATATGCAAATTTTCAACTTCCAAGCATTCCAAGCAAAGATATGTAACAATATCAAAATGAAAGTATTCCTTCATCTTGTCAAATTTTTTCTCTAATTATAACATTGTCATAATTTCAGGGAGTTGTGATTAACTTCAAATAGATGATGAAAATTTATCAAGATACACAAAATGTCATAAAAACTACCATGACCCTTTCACCAACAAAGATAATTCTTGTTAAAATCTTTCTGATTGTACAAGAACAAACTATATTCCTCACACTTATACAAGAACAATTTCAGTTGTTGAAGGAAACATTCAAGATGCATTTTCACTTTTATTTCACCAAATCATATATCTAGGATTCAATCAAGTGCAAATGTGTATTACACGTATATATATTGTATTATTGTATATATTGTATTAGTAGAATAAAACAAGAATTATTTCTTAATATCAATATTTCACAAATTAATGACAAATTTTGTTTCTTTACACTACTTGAACCAAATAAGAAAAAATCTTCCCATACCTGAAAAATTAAACAAAGACTATTTTTCACTTTTATCATAAGAATAAAACAAAAATAATTCTGCAAATTTAAATTCAAATGAATCAAAAATATTTTTGAAACAATTTCTACAAAATAGTACTGATTTTATTAATTACGTTTAGAATATTATTTACCCATTGATCATATAAGATTTCCATAAGATTAAGGAATTTTTGGACTCTATGAAAGCAACTTTTAACAAGAAAATTAAACTTTCATATGTATTCTCCTTGCAAATGGATCTTTTGTTGGTTTTTGATTGTGTTGGATTTTTTTTTGTGTTACCGTGAAAGCAATTATTTTCAACCTCCGACAAAATATGTTTGTGTATTTAGTATTTATCAGTAGTTACAAAATAACTAAAAAAATGGAAATAGAAGAAAGAATTGAAAATAATTACGGAAAATTTATCAATAAGATAGATAATAAAATACCTTTATGAAAATATAAACACCTTGTGACCATTAAATTGTTACTCAGTTCACAGAATGAGGTCAGCACTAGGAAGACTAAATGTCTTGATCCCCCAAGGTTAGTGGAATTCATCTCCACGCTAAAGGAATTTTTGACAATTTTTAGTGAAAAAAATGCCTGGTAAACAAAATTAAAAAAAAAATT